CTTCCAGGCCTGTCTTCAGTAAGCCACTGGTGCCCCGGGTCCAGCTTCACACCAAGAGAGCCCTCAGGCCTCACCAAGGTGCTCACACTCTGATCCCTGACACTGAGGGGATTCTCAGTGAATTCATCTTTATTTCTTTATTCAAGTTAAAACACGTTTTCCTTGAAGACACACATATCCTCTGGGCACAGATACAAAAAGCATGTAGACAAATCAGTAAGACAGCAGTTTAAAAGAACACTGTGCTCTCTGGGTCAGAAAGCAGGCGTCCCAGAAAGCCAAGGAGAGCAAGAAATCCCACAAATATGGGCCATCCACAGAAAGTGAGTGCCTCTAATTCTCTGTGGGCAGAATTATAAGCATGAAGCCAAGAGCCCTCTGGTTTGAATTGTCGAGGCCGGGAGAAAGAAAGAAACTAATTATTTTCACCAATGACGGACAAATCCAGAGGGTCATACACAGCAATCCACATGTGATCGTTAGAGAGTGACAAACAGGTAGGTGTCAAATCAGTGTCTTGCTAGAAAAGAGCTGTATTTTAATTTTTAAAGAATTACATAATAAATATCTTTTTCTTTCTCAGTAAGCAATAAAGGTCACTCACTGGTAAGGGAATGGAAAGCTAGGACTTTCTACGGGCCAAGTATTATTCTTAGCATGAATTCATAGTCATAAAATTTAACTTAACTTTTAAATTATAACTAATTTTGTTTAATCTTTAGCTTTAATTCAAGTTAAGCTATTTAATATTTGTGATGGCCTCCAGAGACAGATCTTAACATCCCCTTGCTTTCTCTCTGCCCTCCGAGTAAGGAAATGAAAGCACAGAGAGGGCAACATTCCCAAGGTCACACAGCCAAGAACTGGCAGAGCAGAAACAGAGACAGGAAGTAAAATCTGTGCAGAAAGTGGAAGCTTCACAAGGAAAAGCTGCCTTTCGGTGAAGTGGTATAGATCCCAAAGAAAGAATAAAAGGAAACGATACATCATAAGACCAAGAATAGAGAAGCAAAACCAGAAACCAAAAAAAGGAAAGCTCACATAACAAGAGGAAAGCATTTAAGAACCTTCTTCAGGGGCGCCTGGGTGGCTCAGTCGGTTAGGTGTTTGCCTCTTGATTTGGGCTCAGGTCATGATGTCATGGTTCTTGAGATGGAGCCAGCCTGGGATTTTCTCTCTACTTCTCTCTCTCTGCCCCTTCCTTGTGCTCCCTCCCTCTCAAAACAAACAAACAAACAAACATTTCAAAAGAAGAAAAAAAACCCTTCAGTTCTAGAAGGCAAAATGTCGTACAGGAGGTAATGTTTCCTCTTTCTCTTCTTGCCAAGACTCTACATCTCCCCCCTAGAGCTGCATCACATGGCCACAAGTCAATCACAGGGTCAACATGAGCAAAAGTTTTCGTTTTTGTCTTTTTCTGGATCTGGACTTCAATCCAAGGCATCCAACTAACATAAACATGTTTTCCCCAATATGAAACATGATCATCCAAATTCAGACTCCTAATACAGGATTGTACGATTAAACAAGAAACAAAAATATGTCGACCAACCGTGCTAACCGCCCCCACGTGAGGTCCATTTTCCCAGAGTGAGGCATGCAATTTTCATGTACTTCACATGTTGCTATAGAAAGTTATGAATGATGACCTGAGAGGTCAATGAGATTTTACCTGGGGGAAAAAAATCCATTAATTAACTCCTGGGTCCAAAAGGAATTTAATGATTTTATAGGTTCCTAGTCTCTCTGATGCTTAATAGTCTTCCAAGGGCTCACCCCTGGTGCTAAGGTGAAAACGCCCGTGTCAGGAGATCCACCCGCTTTCTTGGCAGCCTATCAGCCCTCCAGGCAAGGCCACTGTCAAACTAGCCCGGAGTGGAGATCTGCCTCTTTAGAGCAATACAAGGCAATCCTTCTTCCACCGGGAACAACACTTCAGGTCTCTCCGAAGAGCTATTATGCCCCTTTCTCATCCAAACCTATTCTCTTTGTGAAAGAACTCAGATTCTCCCAATTGTTGGCGCAGGTTTAAGAAACTCCCACCATCTAAGCCCATACCCCAGGCAGCCTATAGTCCCTCCTGAACAGCATACAACTGCACAAAATACTCTAGCTCTGGGTGCATCATCCAGGGTCCTGTGAAAGCAAGACTTGCATTCACTTAGTTATACCTCTAACCACACGATCTAAAAGAGTGGCCTCTCCATGGATACATGAATAACCCTGTTGATTCCACACCATCAAATAAAATGCCAAAGTCCTATATGAGTCACTCCTAAACGACAGGCACTCAATCCTAGAAATCTGTAACTGGCTTGTAGCATCCATGGGTAGGACCATAAAAATGTACCTGTGGAGCTTCATCTTGTTGGTCCACTGTTGTCCATTGTTCAGCTGTCCATTGTCCATTGAAGTCCATTGTTCTATGCTGTTTAAAACTTTTTGGGCCCATCCTTAATTTTTCATCCAAAATATTTGCAATCCATTCTGTTTCCGTACCATCTTTGCAGAGGTAAGTGTGCCTTCCTTATTATCATTTTGCTGTTTTGTCAGCGAAACAGGGTAGGAGGCAAAGCAGCAGGTTCTCATCTGCTGATCAACACTCCATGGGCACATTCACGTAGGCACCCCTCCACCCTCTGGGCCTTGCAGCTACTGCACGTGTCCCCACGTGGTCCATGAGAACATTGTAAGAGGAGAAACTTCTGTTGGATGTGTTGCTGAGATAATTATAATACTGCCTCTCTTCCAACAGAGGATGAGAGAAAATCAAAGTAAAGAAAGAAAATGAAACTGTCTCCCTTGGTCTGGTCTACACACTACCCAAAATTCTCCCAAGGACCACTGTTTATTTTTCTCAGTATTCATAATTTATCCATCACCAACGCTTTTTAAAATTCAACATGGGCTCAGCATCAGGTTCACTAGCATGTAGTTTGAGGACCACATCATCTCCTTGCCAACAGACAAAATGTTTTTGCCCGTCTTTACCAATGAGGCACCGCTTCAGCTCTCCCCAACTCACCGTCTCTGGTGATGGGACCTTCTCATGTAGAACTCCTTCAGTTGAAGGCATACACATTTCTGAGTCATTAAGTGGACTGATAACAGCTACATGCTCGAATACAATCTCTCCATTCATCTTGCACATCAATTTCTCAGTACCGTGTTTGTTCTGTCTAGTACGGCATGAAAGGCATTCTCAGACAAAGAGAAGCCCCCAGTCGACCGACCATGTCTGTGCCACCTACTACTATGACAATCGTGAACTAACCTGGCTGAATGACATGGGAAAGCCAAATGTCTCAGCCTGACATTCACGGTCTGATGAATGCTGAGCCCGCATGTGCTTCCAGACTTCTCAATCCCCCTCACTCTTCCGCTTAAAATTGCCCCTGCTACCCAACAGCTTCACCTTCTGAACTCAAAGGCCACCTCCTCCATGAAGACTTTGCGATATTTTCTCCCCTCTTCCCTCCCAAAAAGGTGGAGAAGGGGCTAGATATTGTCTCTCTATGCCTTGAATCCCCAGATGTTTCCTTTTAGCACTATTAAACCATGGCTTTTGTTTTTTATTTTTTAAGTTTATTTATTTATTTTGAGAGAGAGGGAGTGAGCATTAGCAGGTGAGGGGCAGAGAGAGACAGGGAGAGAGAGAAGCCAAGCAGGCCCTGCACTGTCAGAGTAGAGCCCGACATGGGGCTCGATCTCACGAACCACGAGATCATGACCTGAGCTGAAATCAAGAATCAGACACTTAACCAACTGAGCCACCCAGGAGCCCCATGCCTTTTAAATTATACTTATGTATATCCTACTTTATTATAGCTAAGTGTACCTTTTGATTACAGTCATCTATGTCTTATTTTTATTATACTGGCATGTGTGTCTTCTTTCTTTTCTTTTTTTTTTTTTCTGGCTATATTGACTTATTTATTTAATTTTTTTTAAGTTGCATCCAAATTAGTTAGCATACAGTGCAACAATGATTTCAGGAGTAGACTCTTTAATGCTCCCTACCCATTTACCCCATCCCCACTCCCACAACTCCTCTTTATTAAACTATAAGCTCACTAGGTTGGAGTCTAGCAGCTCAGACACTTCTGTTTCCCATGCAGGGTCTGGGACAGGACTTTACACGCAGTAGGCACTTGTGATGAAGCAATCTCCTTTCAACTCGAGCTCAAAATGGCCAACATTTACATCACTTTCAGTGCAGCACAGGCTCTACTGTTTTCTTTTTAGTCTTTTAACATGGACATTCTAAAGCCACCCTTCCCAGCTGATTAGGCAGCCTCACTCCAGGAGGGTTGTACCAGAATATTCAACAGAGATGATGTAAGAAAAAAAAAAAAAACGTACATTCTGATCGTATGATTTGATTTATACTTGCTATAATATTTAATTCAAAAATAAATGAAGTTTGGGGGGATTTTTATGTTATTAAAAAGAGCACTGGGTTTTAAAAGATTGAAAAACAATATTCCACAGCCTTCCTTAGCGGTCAGGTCTGCTGTGGAATGCTTTGCCAGTATGTGAATTTTCATATAAATGCTCAAGCACCGTGCCTTTGAATATAAATGCAATTCCATCCAACTTAATAAAATGTATCTGCCGAAGAAGTTCCAGCTGCAACTCCTACCATGCGATAAATTATCCTTTGCAACTTTAGCATACAGACAAGTGTGTAAGATACGAGCCCAAAATATAATCTATAATAATACTGCAAATATTGTAAATATAAGAGTAATGCAAAAAAGTCAACATCCCAAATTTCACATTTTAGTTGACATTTTTTACGGACCATGTATTTGGGGTCTATCATGTTCCACCACATTTAATAAGATAATTTTATATGAAGTTACTTGCAAATATTTACGTAAAAGTCGCTGTATCCATCCGCTTTAGGAAGTTCCATGGTAATCATTCCTCCGTATTTTCTGCAACAGAATAGCCACGTTCTTGGTCCTCTTTTCTAACGCTATGTTTATTTGCAACAGGTACAAGCACAGGTATCCTAAAACTTGAGGCACTGCAGACCCAATGAATGTTTCAAGTTGTTTCACTACAGTATGGTTACGAGTGGTATTGCTGGGTGAGGAACGGTAAATAATGGGGATGCTGTAGCTATCTGTGGGGCTGAATTCTGTGAAAGCTGCAAAATCGTGTAGAAATATAACAGCTCTCTGGAGCCTGCTTTACTCTCCTTATCGATGTGCATGACATGAGTTGTACATCACATTTTATTCCAATATAGAAACAGGACAGTGCTCAGAAGGAATATACACATATACATGTTTTAGGGAGCAGAGGCTATTTTAGCTTTATTTTACTCTGGTAAAAAGAGTGAAGAACAATATATACATAAATGGAATGCTGCCATGTGCCCCTTCACAGAGCCAAGAAAAGAGGCAAGTTGACTTTTCACAGGTTACACCTATGAAAAACATTAAGTTGATGTCTAAAGTGTCTCCAGTAAAAATGCTGCATGTTTGTCTGCAATGAGCTTCACTTACATCTGCCAACAAAAAAGCACTTCCCTTTAAAAAATGCATCCCTCCCTTCCAGGGCAGAATTTCACCCAGAAAATATAGGGTGTTCATTTCATGCATATTATGCTAAATAGTTACTTTTTTAATGTTTATTTACTTTTGAAAGAGAGAGAGAAAGACAGAGCACGAGCAGGGGAAGGGCAAAGAGAGAGAAGGAGACACAGAATCCGAAGCAGGCTCCAGGCTCTGAGCTGTCAGCACAGAGCCTGGCATGGGGCTCGAACTCAGAAACTGTGAGATCATGACCTGAGCCAAAGTCGGACATTTAACCGACTGAGCCACCCAGGCACCCCACTTTCTTTTGTTTTTGTCTTGAATGATTTTTTTTTCCAAAATGGAAATACTGACATAGCCAATTATTTAAAAAATGGATCTTGAATATAAAAAAAAAGGTAAATATACCAAAGTCCCTTACTCTCCCCCCAAGAACAGAGTTGAGTATCCCAGATTTTTTTTTTTTTTTACACTTAGAGAATGAGTTCCATAACTCCAATTTTTCACTTTGCATGTCATGGGCACCTCCTCACATAAATACATGTAATAAATAGCCTATCATTTTTTTAAATGGTCATTTTTTACCATAATTTACCCATCTATTCTCCTACTGTTTAGATTTTAAGTTGTTCTGATTTTGCCTTTTCAAATAATTTTTCACAGAAAACTGCTGAATGCTTATCTTTACTGAACCTCTTATGTCCTTAGTATCTATTCCTAATGGCAGAACCACTGTGTAAACAGGTGGATGTGTTTGCACGTTCATACGCAACTCTGGGCTCTGTGAGAGGCTTGGTTTTGTTTACAGGTGCACGTCCTGTGCTTAGACTATATGCCGGGGCCTGGCACATAAAGGATGCCCGTTCGTTACACGAATACATATTGCTCTCAAGAAAAAAGTCTCCGGCTTCATTCTATCTCCCTATCTCTTGCCTCTCTCTTGAAACTTTGTAACTAGAACGACCAGATCATTTACCATTCAAATAGGGACACTTTTAAGTTTCTGCTAAGTTTCTCAGGATCCACAGATGAGTGCAAACATAGGGTATCTGTCTTTCTCTGCCTGACTTACTTCATTCAGCATAATACCTAACAGAAGACCATGGGGGAGGGGAAGGGGGAAAAAAGTTACAGAGAGGGAGGGGGGCAAACCGTAAGAGACTCTTGAGTACTGAAAACAAACTGAGGGTTGACGGGGGGTGGGGAGAGGGGAAAGTGGGTGATGGGCATGGAGGAGGGCACCTGTTGGGATGAGCCCTGGGTATTGTATGGAAACCAACTGGACAATAAATTATATTTAATCAGAAAAAAACAAATAGGGACATTTTTTTCTTGCTTAGGAAGTTTTTCCAATTTTTTAAATCAGAGTCTAAGTATCCAGCAAAATTCACTCTTTTCTCTGTGCAGTTCTGCAAATTTGGCAAACGTATGCTGTCCTATGACCACCACCAGCACAGTCAAACAAAACGAACACTTCCACGAACTCCAAAAATTGCCCCAAGCCGTTTTGTAAATCAACCATTCCCTGATCCCTAGTCCCTGCCAACCAATAATCCGGTCTCTGTTCCTAGGTTTTGCCTTTTCCAGAATGTCAATTAAATGTAACTACACAGTGTGAAGCCTTTGTATCCAGCTTCTTTCGGCACCATGCATCCGAGATTCATCACGGTGTTGTGCCTATCCGTAGTTGTTCCCTTTTATGGCTAAATAAGGCTCTGTGCTACGAACCACAGTTTATGTAGCTGTCTTCCAGCTGAGGGACACTGAGGTACTTCCAGGTTTGGGCAACTATAAAGAAAGATACTAGAACATTCACGTACCAGTGTTTGCATGGAACTGGGCCACTCTGGGGAGCTCCAAAACGCTAAACCAGACAGAATGCCATGACACCAAGCATGAACTGTACATATGGTCACTCTGCTTAGAAGACACTTCTCACCACCCAAGGTTATCTGATCCTTGTCCTTGTACCCATTTATTATCTGCCTTTCCGCATCCCATATAAGCTCTGGGAGGGCAGGCACCTCCTCCTCTGTTCACCACTCTATTCTAGAGCCTAGAACAGTAGCTGGCCTGTGGTAGGAGCTCAAAAGCATTTTTTAACTGAATACAGTTCGCTCAACCCTAGGAATTTGTTTTCAATACCTAAATGACACTTTCTCTTACCAGGTGCTGTTTTCAGTGTTTTGTTGCACTTAATCCATAACAATCCCAGGGCTAGATATTATCGTTTTACACAGCGAGGCAGAGAGAAGTGAAATAACTTCTGAGCGTAAGTGCAAAGGGCTGGACTCTGAACCCCCAGGCGGGCTCTTAAGCCACCATGCCAAGCTTCGGTGGAATCGTCAGCTTTTAAACTTGATAGGGTGTAAAAAAGCCTTATTATTTTGTTACTTTACCTCTAGTAGAGTTACACGTCATACGCTGTTTGGCCATCTGCATTTCTTCTCTTACACTGTGTCTCTGAAGCGAAAATATTTTTAACGGTAGACATGGGAGACAAGCTATTTCCAGAATGCAGGTGATATCAAGAGAGAATGAGATAATCGTGTTTAAGGGCCTGTTCCAGAGAACGAGGGCCAGACAGGAGACCTCTTGGCCACGGCCCGCCTCGCAACGCCCACCCCAGCTCTCCCAAGGCTCCTCTTTTTGGACTATTGGTTCTGTCATCTACCTCGCCACCAAAGCTGAAACTAAGAGCTTCCTTGGCCCTTTTAACTCACACCCCACCCACCGGTGAGGGCTATCGGATGGGCTTCCCGAGGGCATCACCAGCCCGCCCACTTTTCTCCCTCTCTGCCTCCACATCATCTCCCACATAAGCCACTTATAAGTCTCCTTCCAGACCTCCCGGCTTCCGATCTTGCTTCTCTAATGAGCCATTTCCCCTTCACAAGGCATCTAGAGTGGTATCTTGGCACGGTAATGGTCACTTCATGGCCACAAACCCTCCCGTGGCCTCCTTGCTGGGACCTGTGTGGCCCTGCGAAATCTCCCCTCACCCCCTCCTCCCCTGGAAGCCTGCCCACTGACTCCGCATTTGTTCTTCACTGCTTGCACACTCCATGCCTGGCTCTTCACACGGATGGACCCATCCTACATATGAGGGGTCATCTTGAACGTGCCCTCCCCAGACAAACTTTCCTTGAGGTGCATCGTCTTTCCCCGGCCACAGTCTGTGCTTCTTCCCCAGCCTTCTTCCGTTATTCTCCATGTTTATTTGTTCACTGTCTTCCTCTTCCAGTAGGACATGAGCTCCGTGAGGATAAGCAAGGGTCGCATCCGCCCTGCTCACCATCGATCCCCAGTGAGTGGAACGGTGTCCAACAACTTCAGGCACTCACTAAATATTGTTGAATTAATACAGTAGCACACGGGATCTCTCCTAACTTACTTGGCTCTCTGGGTAACGCCTTGCTGAGCATATATCCGTCACAGAAAGTCACTGAGTATTTGAGATGGAAAGGAACAGAGACATGAATTATGTCAAGCCTCTCGTTTTACACGAGGAGGATGAAGCCCAGGGAGACTCGGGCCGAGTCCGCCAGCTGAGACCTGTCACAGCCACACGGGGGCCGGGCGCCCATGCCAAGACTAGCACTTGGCCCCTTCCGCAGACCGTGGACTCCCCCAGACAGCCTCGCATGTTAGGAAGATGAGAGAAAATAAGGTTACGTGGGGACAGGACTCAAAGGGCTCTGAGACAGACCCAACTGAGCATCAACTGATACAAAACACAGTACAGGAACAATTAAAAGATGAGTAAAAGAAAAGTCTGGGGGCGCCTGGGCAGCTCAGTCAGTTAAGCGTCCGACTTCGGCTCAGGTCATGATCTCGCGGTCCATGAGTTCAAGCCCCACGTCGGGCTCTGTGCTGACAGCCCAGAGCCTGGAGCCCACTTCAGATTCCATGTCTCCCTCTCTCTCTGCCCCTCCCCTGCTCATGGTCTGTCTCTGTCTCAAAAATAAATAAAAACATTAAAAAATTTAAGGGGCGCCTGAGTGGCCCAGTCGGTTGAGCATCCGACTTCGGCTCAGGTCGTGATCTCACGGTTCATGGGTTCGAGCCCCACATCGGGCTCTGTGCTGACGGCTCAGAGCCCGGAGCCTGTTTCCGATCCTGTGTCTCCCTCTCTCTCTGCCCCTCCCCCGTTCATGCTCTGTCTCTCCCTGTCTCAAAAATAAATAATCATTAAAAAAATTTTTTTTCTTAAAAGAAAAGTCTGAATCCTTAGGGAAACTGCGATCTCCTGAGGGGAAGGGGATATAACATACAGACAGCTAGTAACTGTGGTAACAATAGCAAGGCAAGGTGTGATAAAACATGCAGTTAAGGGGAAATTCTAAGTACCACATAATGACAAGAAGGAAGCAGAGATTACATCGGAGGGGCTGGGGCAAATTAGATCTTTGCCCCTTCTTGCAACGCATGAATTTGTGCCCCTGCGTTGTGGGTAGGGGTGCGTCTGTCTGTGTGTCCGTGTTTGTGGGTAGGGGTGCGTCTGTCTGTGTGTCCGTGTTTGTGGGTAGGGGTGCGTCTGTCTGTGTGTCCGTGTTTGGGGGCAGGGGTGCGTCTGTCTGTGTGTCCGTGTTTGTGGGCAGGGGTGCGTCTGTCTGTGTGTCCGTGTTTGTGGGTAGGGGTGCGTCTGTCTGTGTGTCCGTGTGGGTAGATAGTTTTCCAAAGACCACCGCCGTGTACCAGACATACATACACCAGACTTATTGTGGCATTCGAGGCCTGGGTATTGGATTTGTAGGTGAGGCTGGGGCCACACGTCTCCCTTTCCTCCCCCAGTGACCCACTTCCTCGCTGTCTCTTTACCTGCATTTCCCCCAGTGGCGAAGAGGTAAGAAAAAAAGCCTCTGTGAAACTCAAATCTGTCAAACGCTGCTTGCTCCAAAAAAAGGATTTCGTGATGAAAGGGGACAAAATAATAGCTGAAATGAGGCATGGGGACTATCTATGGATTTCACATCTGCTTACCAGGAAAGCTGGGAGTTATCTGATCTGGTGAAGGAAGAAAAAGCCTGGCATTTTCAAAAGGCAGCAACAACAACTGAATTTGTCAAGAGCTGGTGATAAATTCTCTGCCACTCTTTGAGACCACTGAGAAAGGCTGACACGTTAAAGACTAATACTCCATCTACAAAATACCAGATAAGATCCAAAGTCTCCCAACAACATTTTTCTGTGCTTGTATTTACTAATAAGAGGCTAAAGAGAGAGAGAGGCAAGGACTTCAAATCTCGACGAAATCAAATACTTTTCGATCTATGAAAAAGAAAACATATGTAGGCATTTCACGTGGCCTCCCAGGGGCTGAGTCAGACAAGGTTTCCGTTATGGTCTCGTTGGAGGAGAAGGCAGCGGTGTCTTAAAAGTGGAGTTCAAGTGTATGTTTGCAAGGCAGGCACTTTCTCCTTCTCCAGCGGCTATCTGGCCTTTTAGCTCACACCTGGTTGCTTCACTCCCTATGCTACCTGCCCGGCACCTAAAGGCAACGGAGGCCCCACTCCCAGAGCACTCTTCTTATCTACCTGCCCAAGTATTGAGATAACACTGATATTCATTAAGGTATTTCCTCCTTTGTTTCTAACCACAAATACCTTATGTGAGTATTCTCCACAAACCCACTCCCTCCTTTCTTTCCTACCACTGGTCTTAGGGCCCAAACCACTTCTATAATGTGGATAATGGGTCAAACAGTTCTAGGGGAATCCTTAAATCCACCCGAGCAGGTGGGCCAGGAGGCCGATTCCTGGGGAGGGTACGGGGGTGACTTCATGGAAGCAGAGAGGGGAGTACAGACACGTCCACAAACTCCTCTGCTAGGTCCCACTCGACCCAGCTTCTCCCAGTGGGTTCATTTCAACGCGGTAGGCACGCTTGATCTATACATCCCTGACTCTCTGCTGTGTGTTAGGCCCCGAGAATGGACATCAGCACTCACAACAGGGATGGCACATGACCTTCATTTATCTGCAGGACTGCAGGCTGTAAACCTCGGGATTCTCTGCTACCTGAAGGGAAGCAGGAACTCTTCGTAACGTCATCAGGGATAAAGCGAGAATCGCCTCCAGCTCACACGCCTGTACCGGGTCACTCAAAATGGGGCTCTTTCAGCTCATTCTCTTTCGGGAAGGTGCATTTCTTTTTTTCTCTCATCACAAGCAGACAACCTGTCTTCTGTCAAACGAACGAGACAGCTCGCACGATGAAGATGAACATTTAACACCACGATGCAGCCCAAGCAGAGGAAGTTTGCAAACAACCAGAAAGTAGTAAAATCTACTGCATGGTGACTGCAGAAACCAGCGACTCAACGAAAAGGTACAAAGCTCATGTCCCAGGGCTTCTTGCTGGAAGTCTCTGTATTGTCATTAATTATACCATGTAATGAACTAGGCATTTTGGAACACCATGCTTGGAATGTCTTTATCTTTAAGGAACAGATAAAGAAATGACGATAAACAGAAAAGGAAAGAACACAGCACTTGGTTCGGAACCAATTTGCCCTAGAAACGTGCAAGAGACACAGATGATCTATGCCAGGGAGAATGAGTCGTGTTTCTATACAATTGAGATAAAGGAATAATATCGCTTTAGTTAACTTGTAGGA